ACCTCTTCTAACCGGTTCGGTAGATTTGATGAACCGGTTCTACCGAATAGGTGCGAACTGGTAGGAACCCACCCCTGGGTTGGTATTATTATGCACACTAAGTCTAAATATCCACACTTATTCGGCTTTAGTAAAACAAATAGAAAGCACAAAACCATAATAACATAATTCAATCATCATTTACCAGATAAATATATCAAAGTGTTTTGAGATTATCACCAATGTCGCTTGCTGCCTTTATTTTAGATCTTGAATATTTTTGTCTGTTTGTTTGTAGCTCAGCCATGCGGGGGCCGCTTGAATTCCAAAGATGCTGGCTACATCACTTCACCCGGGTATCCACAAGACTACCCTTCCCATCAGAACTGTGAGTGGATCATTTACGCCCCGGAACCCAACCAGAAGATCACGCTCAACTTCAACCCTCACTTTGAAATTGAGAAACACGATTGCAAGTAAGAGGTTTCTTTTTATTTTTTGGTCTCCTACTGCCCCTGTCCTTGACTTTAGGGAAAGAAATCCAGTCTGTTCCTCCTGATTCTTGGCCTCTCTTTACTCCCACTGTAGGATTAGTTTAGTATCTTTATAAAAACGGATACTGTGATTGGAGGAATTTAGATAGTGTGGATGAATGGGAGGTTGAAATTCTGAAGTTCAAATGGATGGTGCCATTCTGCAAAGTTGCAAGTAATATATCACACTTGGAATGTAGCTATTAAGCAAAAATTTCTGATAAGCCATTAGGATATCTTACTCTGCACGCATGAACACCGATTAGAGCTCTTCTTTCTATTCTCTGCTACATTGCAAATAAGCACAGAATCAGGGAGATGGGGGAATGTGTGAATCATATTCTGGGGTCTGACATGGCCATGGGCCACAAGGTTTTTTTTTCTGTCTTACTGAGCATTTAGTAACTGCCTAAACAGATATACAATGCTAGTATTTTCAGGTTCCTTATATTTGGTCATCCATCAGAGGTAGAAAAGAAAAAGCTACTCCTTTTCAAAAAGATGCAGGAATAAGAGTTCCAGCAGAATCAGCTTCGTGGTTTGGTTGGGAGGCTGTGTGGTTTTTTTTTACGTAGGAGCAAATCTATTGGTGACATATTTAGAATCATACTAGCAATAGCAGTTAGCAATAGCAGTTAGACTTATATACCGCTTCATAGGGCTTTCAGCCCTCTCTAAGCGGTTTACAGAGTCAGCATATTGCC